ATACTACCATTCACAAGATTTACAAGGTACGTAGACAATTAGTGGACATTCTCAGCTCTTGAAGTCACCTGGAGGTCAAAATCAGGATAATATTGTTCATGATTCCTAGTTGTTTTAGAAGCTGAAGTTCTTGTTGTGTGGAACAAGCCCTCAGAAAGTCTCTCCTGAGTCATTACTCAAGGCTGATCGTGTCTGCCCTGATCACGGGTGCTTCCTGTAAGCTAGCACAGGACATTGTCATTGGACATGTGATAATGGATAAGTGATCCACAGATACCACGAAGACTTTCCACTGCAGTGCTCCTCCCAGGACTATTCTCTCTCTGGCACTGAGCAGTGCTATTGTTGCAGCGCAATTGCTGGCATCAAACACTATTTGTGCAAATCACCATTTTACGTGCAAAATCACAAATGCTTAGGTTTGTTAAGGTGTGTGCTTTACAGCAAAAAAGGATTAAAGAGTGCAAAAAGATCTATAACACAAGCAAATTACTGCCTAGATTCATGCTGCAATTAACAATTGGAAATAGTATTCAAAAATGATTTGAAGGTAACTGTACTCAGAGCAATTTACCAAATTTATTTTTAATAATCAGTGATCCTTGGGAAAAGAACTGGCATTTAGCCAAACATGGTGGGTAGGCGTTGACTTGGTGTCACGACCACCAGGCAGTCAAGACCAAATCGTAAGCGAGCTAATCAGCCCCAGTAGCGGGTGATTATTAACAAACGCCGCCGCACGAGTTAAACCACCTGCGCACACTCACTGTGCGGTGCGCACTGCTATTTATACCATCTTCACCTGCTTCCCACTGATCGGTATTGAGTCTACTCCTTGAGAGTTCTAGCTGGTGGTTTTCCCCCGTACCCCATTTATTCTGGATTTTGGATTCCCCTTCTGCCTTTTCGACTTTGCACCTCGCCTTTCGCCTCGGACTGTTCGCTACCGGAGAACTTCCTGGATTACGATTTGCCTTTCGCCTTTTGACTACGACCTTGCCTCTCGTTTTGGTTTGTTCGCCTGCCTCATCTATTACCCGTGCCTGCGTCTGCACAGGATCCTTGTATCTTCCCACCAGGGATTCCTAACACTTGGCTGGTTATGTTAGGGGTACTACTGTATTGAGAGACCGGGACCAGTAGGAAGACTGTTACACAGATCTTAATTTTTCTACTCGGTTGCTGCGGAAGTTGCCATTCATGCTCGGAAAAACAGCCTTTTCCTGTTCCTTAAATGCTTTTATGATAAATGTGATGCTGGAGGAAATAACAAATAATACACCGTTGTCCTACAAAAGACTGGATGAAAGTAGCTTAAAGTTCCTAAAATAACAATTAGGACAGTAGTTAAAATTAATACAGTACCTCACAGAGCTGGAGCCGTGGGCTGAATCTCAGGAGTGCTATTTGTGTAGAGTTTGTAAAGTTCTCCCCATGTTTGTGTGGGTTTCCTCCCACAACCAAACAATGTACTCGTAGGTTAATTAGCTTCTGTAAAAAATGGGCCTTAGTGTAAGTATGTGTGTGCTTTGTGATGAACTGATGTCCAGTCCAGGGTGTATCCTGCCTTGTGCCCAATGCTTCTTGGGATAGGGTTCGGGCCCCTGTGACCCTGAATTGGATAAGTGGCCAATGATCATATTATCCCATTATAGTGCTGTTAGAATTTAATTAGGCTGTATCAGACCTGTTAACTTTAGGCAGTAAGTCACTCTATTGGCTGTATTTTGAAAAAAGCCAGCTCTCTATATAGCTGAATCCAGAGAATTGCTCTCCAGCCATCTTGTTTATAAGAACATAGTTACAAACAAGAGGTGGCCTTCTGGCACATCTAACCCATCTGATAACTGATTGATCAAAGGGTCTAATGCAGTATGCTTTATGGGATTAACCACTCAAATATTAATATTGAATGCTTTTATTGCAGATATGTCATTAGTGACTGGCACAGGCTCCAGTGCTTCCATTTTATTTTATGATTATTGTGCTTTTTTTCTGTATTGGATGAAAAGAGTTTTTCTTTGGTTTTAGCGTGGGTCAGATATGGATTCCAGTGCTGTAAGTGTGGTATATTAAAATCTACACTGTCCTAATCTGTAAGGCACTTTCCCCTCCTTTTTATTTTTTTCTATAATATTGCCCATAATACAATATTTACTTTTCATCTTGCTGTTTGGTCACTGCAGGCTATCGTCTATTTCTGTTTCTATTTGAGGGAAGGTGTAGCTGGTGACAGGTTTTAGGTAGTATTAGAACCTGCAGCTCATTTGGGAAAGTTGCTGAGAGTGTGAGTAGTAGTCTCATTTTATTTGACTGTTTTGACCTTTCTTGTCATTTTCCTTGAGTTTCTGTACTTTGCACCCATTGCAAAACATAGGAGGGGTTGTTCTGTGTACCTTCCTTCCTGCATAATATCTGATCATTTCTTTCATAATGGTGGATACTGGTGGAGGACGTGTGGTCAGTGTTGAAACAGGACAAAGTGCCAGCATGGCTTCAATGACTAAGTGTGAGTGTGGCTTTTTTTCCCCCAGAGAATTATCTGCACACACCTCACCAGCTCTTGAAATGCAGAAGATGGGCTTTCATTCAATATTGTATGCTAAGGCAAGGAGGGAGTAAAATTTAAGTGCATGAAAAATTAGGTTGTTACCTTTAAGGTTAATGCAGACAAGAAGGAGCTTTACTTTAGTGTTAAATTATTTAATATGCATGCAATTTTAGGAAATATGAATACTCTTAGCTGGGATGATTCCTGGCCCTTTCCTGACTTATTTACTGCGGGTTGGGGGTCTTTAACTGTTCTTTGAATCCCACTTTAGATTGCTTATTTCCTACATCTCCTTCACCTTCAAAACCAACCTTGGCCTTTTGTTGTTTCCTCTATAGGTTAACGTATTTAAATCCTTGGCATTTCCCATTTCCTACAGACAACAGGCACTCCTTTTTCTCCTCAGTTCTTGAACCATAATTTTCTTTTCCATAAACTTTCAAATATATGAAAATTTGATAACATTTGAGTTTTCTTTTTAAAAAAAAAAACACTACCACCTTCCCTAAGATTTCCCGTGCTACTTTATGGAAGACTATTAAGGCCTACCTGTGTAGACAATCTTTCTCTATTCAGAAGAACAAACGCCTAAGGAAAGATTGGCAGTATGAACAGTATAGACTTCATCCTCCGATTAGATCAACAATCTGCTACCTCTGCACCTTAAACCTGTGAACAGAACACCATCAGCAAATAGAATAATAACTCCTTATTTGTACCCTTGAATATTGGTTGTTTTTTCTTCTCTATGCCTATTTTGGGAATGTAACCTTTATCTTGTGAGATGGAGCACAGACTGTAATTTAGCATTCTCTAGCTCTTTGGGGATATTAAAAGTATGTTTGCTCTTAAAACTTCTGGGGATTCCTGGACTGCAGTGACGTAAAGACGGCAGTCAGCTTTGTTTTTATTCCCAGCCCAGATGACCATTCTGCAGCAGTCAGACTCACATTAGGTCATTCTGCATGTAGATAATACTCACTGACTACTTGTTGTGAAGGGCACTGTACAAAAATACTTTCTTTATTTTCTGTGTTTTTTAATCCCTCCCCCCTTGGCATTTCCCCTGTTTTTTGTACTTCTTGTATTTTGGGGTTTTTTTTTGAGGGGGGGAAATGATACATACAATAATGAAATATATCCTGTATATGATTAAATAGTTTTAAACCCAGCAGAAAAGATTTTCGTTAAAGAATTGCAGGAATACCCGTTTCCATGAAAAGCAACTTTTTGAGCTGCATTTCAAAAACTGCTTTGACTGGAATAATGAGTTTCAATTATACAAAAAAAAACATAAAAGCTGGGAGCTGGGAACTAGTAGGAAATGGCAGAAACTACATATCACCTGATGTCTGTTCTTAGTAGCAAAACACTATGCTTCTTTGTAAGAAGCAAAAATTACTGAGGACAACCTAATATGTAATTTATCAGTCCACAATGTACCTTTGAGCAATTAATGACTCATTAATTTGTACTACAATATTAGATGTATGCATACTGTGTATGACTGTAGTTGTTTCACAGTTTAAGTTGTAGTACACTTCAAAACCTGCAAATGAAAATAAAGAAGCAAAAAATCTTTTAATCCTTTCTGTAGCACATTTTTAGAATATTTACTGTTGCATATATACAGACACATACAGTATATACAAAGCAGAATGCTGTACGTAGAACTTTAGACTGGCATACAAATGCATTTAAACAAATGCATCATAGCTTAAATAATTTCCTACATTTCTTTGGTTAATGAAGGACTTTTGTCATAACCATTCTTCCCCTCACAGCATCTTTTCATATGCAATTGTACTTCAGATGTGTCAAGGCATATATTGTGAACTTTGCCCTCAAACTCAAATTTTCTATTAATCAGTAGGTGGCATAATGTTAATTATTTGCACGTTTAAAATGGAAACCTCACTGGTTTCTTTTAAGTAAATAATTTTAAAATTATTTTTACTTAAAGTATGGTCAAATTTATGCATGGAATACTAAAACATATTATATTAATTGCACTTATATAGCACTTTTCTGGGCACTCCACTCAAAGTGCTTTACAGGTAGCCACCACCAATGTGCAGCATCCACCTCGATGATGTGACGGCAGCTATAGTGCGCCAGAACGCTCAACGCACATCAGCTATCAGTGGGGAGGAGAGCAGAGTAATGTAGCCAATTCTTAGAGGGGGGATTATTAGGAGGCCAGGACACCGGGGTTACACCCCTACTCTTTTCAAGAGGCGCCCTGGGCTTTTTAATGACCACAGAGAGTCAGGACCTCGGTTTTACATCTCATCCGAAGGACGGCTCCTGTTTACAGTATAGTTTCCCCGTCACTATATTGGGGCATTAGGACCCACATGGACTGCAGGGTGAGCACCCCCTGCTGGCCCCACTAACACCTCTTCCAACAGCAACCTTAGTTTTTCCCAGGAGGTCTTCCATCCAGGTACTGACCAGGCTCACACCTGCTTAGCTTCAGTGGGTTGCCAGTTGTGAGTTGCAGGGTGATATGGCTGCTGGCATATTGTACTTATCACCCATATTAAGTTTATGATTATGTATGCAAACTACTTTATCTCAATTAGTTCACTAATTTGCAAAATGGAGAAAACAGTGAATATCAAGTTTTTGTAATTTCTTTGGAAACACATTTTAAACCAAAGCTTCTTAAGAACTTTGCCACCTACAGTTTCACAGAAATAACCTGTTTTAAAATCAAACAAACTTTTCTACGCTGTAGATGAAGTCATCCTCTCTCTCCTATGTATATTTCATCCTGCCCCTTATATCAGGCACACAGAACAGTAACAACAGTTTTTAATGCTCATAATACAATATAAATAAATCAGAACTGAATCACATTTTTAATAGAGCGATGAAAAATAAACAACCACTAGCTTTCACTTGAGAATTGAAAATGAGAAACTATCCTGGAATGTCCATCTGTACCATTTGTAAACAATGCCATGTTTAAAAGTTATTAATATGCACCATCTTAATGTCCAATTTCACTGATTTTGTTTAATTGCAATTAATATATTCTTTTATTGTCCACATTCTCTGAAAACATGTCAACAGTAACATAAGCCTGTCCATTATTGTTTTGCTCTGGTTTACAAGGTGTTTGTTCTTTTGAATTCTGAGAATTGCCTAAAAATTCCCTTGTTTTGGAGGCATTCTTCAGATAAGGGTTGATTAATGGAGTGTCTTCGGCTGCTTCACTTCCTGGAGTGCTGTCAATACTCCTCACTTCTTCCCTGTTCTCAGGAGACCCTGACTCACTCTGCAAGGCAAAATAATATTTTAGAAAGAGCTGATTTGAAAAGGCCCTCTTATGTTTTTTTGTGAAAATCAGTGAATTCTGTACCCTTTTTGACACACTGTCTTCCGAAATGACTGCTTCATCTTCATCGCTGCTGAGGTCAATGTCAGGTGGATGGACTATCATTTTTCCAGTTGGTTCAGAATTCCCATTGCAGGTGATGCGTTCAATGACATGAAACTTATTCTCAACATTTTCTGGCTCGTTGCTCAAATGGTCCTGTGAATCAAATAAACACTAATTATTTACAAATCTAAAGGCATTAAGGCTTCATTAAAGCAACCGCACTAAAACGAAATTCAATATGAGTTCATTTATGCAAAACATATTTATTTTCAAAAGAAAATGCAATGATGCGGCACAACTGTATGTAACTCTATAAACAAAAAATAACGTCCAGAGGTGGACGTCTGGCGGCAGTGACACTGCACTGTAACAGGGAAGGTCAAGAGTTTACGTCCCAGTCACCATGCCTGCACCATACATACAGTATATTGTAACTCCTAATCGTAGTGACTGCTGTTCTACAAGTTTAAAAGCTGAAGACACCCGTCATGGTGCTTAGTAGCAAAGAAGTCTGTTTAAACTATTGAAGCCTATGAAAGATATGTGATGACTGAAAACTGCAGGTTTTTTTTTTTACTGGAGGTCAGAAATATTCTTTCCGTGGTGGTGCTAAAATTTACATCCGGCCCAAATCCATCCCATTTCCTAGCATGAGCGGTAACACACAAGGCTGTTCAAGCTGTGTCCAGGTACACAAAGCCCCTTGAAATGCATGAGATTCATATCTGAGGGACGGAGAGAAGGCTGGTGTCTCCCTTCTCAGCTCTCTGGAGGGCCTTTCGTAATAAATGGATTTTGAAACTACACTGAAGTGCAATGTGATTACTGTATTGTGTTCAAAATGTAATATATATTCACACATACAGTACATACCTTGGGAGAACATTCAAGAGGCCAGACACCAATGCTGCTAATTCTAGGACTTGGCACTTCAGGAAAGAGGATTTTTCTTACCCTGTGGAGATGATAGGGTTTAGAAATGTAGACTCAATGAATAAAACAATCTTGTTTTCTATAAATAAAAATGAGTTATTACTCACACTGGTATCAAACTTGATTTAATCAAAATGATTTAAAATAACCAAAATACAGGACTGGATAATGTACCTCATTTAAATAGTTCTAATCATGTAATACTGTAATCATAAGAGCATCTTACAGAGCAAAGTCATATCTGTCATATATAATTAATTGAAATTTCAGGAAGCAAAGAGTGTCACATTTACTGGAACTGCACATCTGGAAGCCTCCAGAACTATACAGAGACCTCCAAAAGTTTCCTGTTTCCCTGGGGTATAAACAGGTGTACTGTACCACATGGTCCCTGGGGTACCACATTGAATACCTCAGCAGTAGCAGCATCATCATAGTCAGTTAGCCCTCTGAAGGCTGCAGGCAAATGATAATTGACCTCCACAATTTGGGGACTGGCTATAAAATAATCCACAAAAAGCTACCACTGAATCTACCACTTTCCTCTATATTATCCACATTAAAATCCAAATCCAAATTAAGACATTTACACTAGTACAGTGACATGTTGTTGGAGAGGCAATCGAAACTCAAATTCATCAATTCAAAATCTCCAGCACACGCTGGCCTTTTCAGGATATGTAGTGTCCAAAATTATTATTCTAATTATTACTCTAAATCTCCTGCAAGAATGTGACAGTCATAGCTGAATTGCAAGAAAGAAGCCTATTTTTTAGGATGAACCACAGAAAGAGTTGAAGTGTGTAAGACATCATTTGACAGTTGTGACAATTTGTTATGTCAAGAGCAAATGACATTTTGGAGCTGCCCATCAATGTTATGTTTGGTATAAAAAATATTAAGCTCATGTTGAGAAAACACTCAATAATTTGGAGGATCTATTGTGTTTTGTGGTTGTTTTTCATCTACAGGTCCTGGGGCCTTTGTCAAGATAGAGTAAATCATCACCATACAGAACACCATACACCAACACCATTCAGAAACTTGGTCTAAAATGGACAATCCAGTATGACAGTGATACATCCAAATTGACAAAGGAGTGCACACTAAACATTCTCAACTGGTCACCTCAATCTCCAGACTTCAATCCAACTGAACATTGTAAGTCTAACTCAAGGCAGCAGTTCACTAGTGGAAACCAAAGGGTCTGAAGTTTTCAGAGCAATTCTACATGCAGGAATGTAGAAAGTTCTCGTCTAAAGACCGACAACGACATAGCACTGAACAGGAGGTTCTGCCAGAGGAGGATTGACAGAATACTAACTACAGGGGTGTGAATAATCGTGACCTTAATGTATTCTGTATTTCAATTAATTATTTATGGCACGTATGACTTTACTTTGTGCAATCCAATGTAATGAATGTAACTTTATTAGATTTTTTTTTAAATGAGACATTTTCAATCTGTAAATCATTCTACTATATGATGTTGACTGTTAGGAATAAACTTGGAGAGCACAGCATCAATGCCATCCTTCACAGTCAAAGAGACCAACTAAGAATATTATCTCTCAAATGCTAAAACTAAAAATCACAATGAAGTATTATGAATCACACACTTTGTATTTTCTATTATAATACATAACCAAGCATTAAGGTAATAAAACATACTTACAAAATAAAGCAAGAAATCCCCATGGCAACCATTAGGAGAATGCCTAATCCACCAATAACAGATATTGCTTTAATGAAAGATGAATCTGCAAAACATGTTAAGAAAACTGACAAATAAGTCAAGAAAAGTCATATTTACATTTTAATACTTTAAATGTTTTTTTTTAATAATAAGTCCTGTTAACATTGCTCATTTAAGAGCTATTTTTTACTATCTAGCAGTTTTGGTCAAAATAATTATGGATAAAGGCACACAGGGTATAAAAGTATAATACATACGTTTACACCTTGTGTGCCTTTATCCATTATTATGTCAATAAGATAAATAATAAATTCTGAACTTGTTAGTGAAGGCAAGTTACATTTTTGGAACAAATACGATACGCTACATTTTCTGAACATCTGGCCTAATTTAAACTGAATTTGAAAGATATGGTCTTTCTGTGCTTAGAAATGTAGAAGGCCTTGTAGACACAAACATTCTCACCATACTTGAGTGTTCTAAAGACAACCGTGCTGCTGTTGGATCCACCCGCATTAGTGCTGGCCATAACATGCAAGGTGTACTTGGTGTTGGGCTCCAGGTGACTCAGGTGGTGTTCTAGAATGTCGCTGCTAACTGTGATTGCTGATAAAGTAACATAAACAGAGAACACAGTCTCACAATGAGTCTCTTCATAAATCTCTTAACATACATAGCAAGGGGATTAAGGACTTTCAAGAATCTGATTAAATAATGTAAAATGGAAGAAACAGCATACTGTACATCCTAAACCTTGACCACTTAATGCAAAATCTATCAATCCATCCATTTTCTAACCGCTTCATCCAATACATGATTGCAGGGGAGCTGGAGCCTACCCAGGCAAGCAACAGGTACAAGGCAGTTTACAATCTGAATGGGCTGACAAGCACATACACACTCACACCAGGGCCAGTTTTCCCAGAAGCCAATTAACTTACCAGTATACCCTTGGGTTATGAGAGGAAACCCACATAAACACAGCGGGGACACAAAAAAAAACCCCAGATAGCACCCCAGGTTTGGAATTGAACCCAGGGCCCCAGTGCTGCATGGCAGTGTTGCTAACCATCACACAATATAATCCTTAACGGGCTTACGTTTCTCTTCTAAAAGGTATAACATAACATTACACATTACAAAGTTAGGCAGAAAAAAAGAAAAGTTAATAGAAACCCAAGATACCAGATATGATATGATATGATATGATATGATATGATATGATATGATGGACATAAGAATTAAAAATAGGCTTAAGTTCTTATCCTTGAAGTGCACTGGGCAATTGCAAAATGGTTTCTACTTACAAAGTTCTGGGCCTTCTTCCTTCCTGTAGAACACTGTGTAGTTCCTAATGAAACCGCGACGTTCATTCTCTGGAACCTCAGTCCACTTTATGGCTGCTTCAGTTGCTTTTATATCTAATGCTTTAACTAGAGGGATTTTTCCCGGCTCTGAATAAAAAGATATTTATATATATGTTTCTTGTGAAAAAAAATGTAGGCCTACAAAAATGTAATAATGTAATATTCCAATACAAAATACAAACCTCCTTCTTCTAGATATGTATGTATGATGGCTTCTTGTCCTGGTCCTTCATCATAAATTGGGGTAACTGCTATACTGTAAAGCCTGAAACGCTCAAGTTTATCTAAAAAAACAAAGTCTTTATTGAAATACAGAGTGCTTTATACAGATTCAGTTACCTCTACTTATTCATTGAAAAAAATCTCATTTTCACTGTCAGCAATATCCTCAAGGAAATCTTTGGTAAAGTTAAACTGTAAATCATGAAATCATGAAATGTGTGATACTTGGCTATGAAAATAAGCCAGTGACGGTATAAATACAGTTTTTAAAAAGCATTACTAGTGTGTCAGATTCCTAGTTTGGCCTAAATGTTTGCCAATTGTACTTCTGTGAATTCTGAACCATAATTTGGTGTTTCTTCCCAGAACGCAATATTGAGGGGACTTGCATAATTTGGCATTGTTCCAACATACTCCTTATAAAGTTAACAATGTGCACTGCTGTTGTGGTTGTATGTATTGACCCTAGATCATGTTGTAAAGAAATGTTTAAGTAGTCTTTAGATAGGGACCTAGAGCATCAATGCTTTGTGCTCTGAATCACTCAATATATTAAAGAACTAAAGAGTTTTCAAATACTTTTTTTTTTCATTTTAGTCCTACACATTTAAGTGTGCGTAGGCTGCAATTACGTATGCAAGCACTCCTGATATAATATTAATTATAGTGGAATTTCAATAAAAGGAAAGTGTAAGAACTTAAACCCTTTCCCAATGAGAAGTTGAAGAGGCTTTTAGGAACCACAAATAAATAAAAAATTATATAAGTGTTCACCCTTATACCTACACTATGCTTGCCAATGAACCGCAGCTAGCATTCTAACATTGCACTCTGGTTTGGTAAAAGCAGGAGGCTTCAATCAGTATTGGGTTTTGGAGCCTGTAAACATATTGTTATCACTCCAAGAAAAGTGAGCATTCATCACTGTCTCAGGTGACTCTTCACCCCCACCAAACAAGTTAGGTGGTCTCAATGGCCTATTCAAGTTTCTAACATTTCTTATGTTCTTACAAGCATTAAAACCAAAAACAACATATGCTCACCTTTAATTGAAATATTTGTAGCTTTTGTTTCTTCCCAATCATAATTACTCCAATCAACAGACCAGTCAATCACATATTTATTCACTGGGATGTCAGAAGAATTCCAGCTCACAAATATCTGACCACTGTGGGGATATGCTTGTACTCCTACAACTGGTGGAAGAGCTGAAAGAAAAAAAAACACAAAACACTTCTGTAAAACTGAGAAAAGAACTTTTCTTGAATACTGTTCCTGCCATTCAAGAGATTCGGTTTTAGTACCGAATGCACAAAACCTAGATAAAAAAGTCTGTATTTTCATACCTACAGGTCAAAAGAGTTCCCTTTTATGTCTTTCATATAGGACCTTGTCAAAACACGTGGAAGCTTTTTTACATTGCTTCAAAATTATACAATACCACAGTGCAGTTATTAAACTGTAATTCAATTAAACTAAAATATAATTGCACGACTCTCTTTACAACAAATTTAGCTCTGAGAAAGAACTATAGCCAATCATTTTGCCTCTTTCAATACAAATAATTAAACTTGAAAACAAGTTTGTACTTTTTTTTCAATGGATGTCTATATTTATTGCAGTAAGCCTATTTCATATACTAGGTTCTGCTAAACATGAAGGATAGTGACTGTTAAAAGAAAGTATGCAAGATAACTAGATTAATGTTGAATAAACAGAATAAAAAAACAATAAAACAGTTGTCTAAAATTTTGCACTCTTACCTTCTCCCAGAGCAGGAATTGTAACTGCAGCTTCAGAAGTTGTGCTATTACTGCTATAAGCAACAATTCGTAGTTCATGAGCTTTCTTACTGACATTCCTCAATGTTCTCATGTTAGATAAACTGAAAGTAATGGTTTCCACTTGGCCATTCATTTCCTCAATGGTAAGTTTGTATCCTTGCACCAGATCACAGCCATCTGAAGGCTGGAGTCCCTATAAAATATTAACAACTAAAAGTATATATTTGAAACAATAATGCATATTCCCTTAAGAAACAACACCAGGGTAACATTCATTACAGCTTATACTTTAAAGTTTCATCTTGGTTCTGCATTGAGTTATAGAGTTCTAATGTGCCCTTACTGTGCCTTATTGGACAGGATCATGGGAACAACATATTGCACGCACCAAAACAGCTTTTTCTAAGGAATGTTTTCTACAATGCACCATGTTACCAAATAGAGGGAAAGGGCAAATATACCCAAAAATAAGCAAAAAAGCTATATAGTACATTCAATGAGACACACTGCATTCCCAGAATATAACACAGCTGCATATTTATTTTCAGAGTGACAAGTTTAACACCTAACCAACTGTACAACTGTATTGTCAAAAAAGGTTAAAGTATATTTTACAATTTCAAGTAGCAGATTATGCTGTAATCAATATCTCTTACCTATGAAAAATGCTGCCTAATGTACTGGAGCCATGTACTGTATATGGAGTGATTTTCTTTCTTTTGAATCCTATAAAAGATCTTCTGTGCCCTGACTATCAATCTCAGTATCACATTATTTACTGTGAACATAACAGTCACTCATCTTAGTCAATCAGTGTATGAGCTATTAATATTTGGTTCATTCTTATACACCTAGGGGTGTAAAGGGTGATTAAAAAGGAAGCTGCTGTAAAGATCACTAAACTGTCATTTAACTTAAATGCTTTGTGATTAAGCTGGGTGGGATCACTGGGAACTGCAATATCTAGTCTCATCAACAGGAATTGTAACATCTAGAGTTGTGATGAACTTTTCAACTTTCCACTTTTTGGCGTCTGATTGTCTTGTTCTCTGTTTTTAGCATTTCTGTTTATCATTAATTTTAGCAGCCATTAGGACACTAGTGACGATTAATCAGTTTAGTTAGCTGAAGGCTGCTTTCTGGCCAAAGCTGTTTTTTAGCTGACAACCAAGACCAACACTAATGTCTGTAATTGTAAAGCACAGCTCTTGTCACCTAAAAAAACATGCAGGGGCTGGGTTTGCATAGCTATTAAGAGCATCATTGCTCTATCAAAGTTTGACAATAATGACGTTGAACAGTTCTAGTAGAGCACCCCTGGTGCTAGGTTGATTAAATATTTCTGTACTTCAGGCAGAATCAGACAACGAGAGGCAGCACAGTGAATTGTGTGTAGTATTGCTCTTCTAGGATAGTAAATGTCAGCTTGAAGTTTCACAGGGTTCACAGTTTAAGTTCAGAGAAATGAACTTGGAAGCACAACCTTTAAAAAGCTGACTGCCTTGTTTATGTACTTATTCATGCAATCATGAATCACGTACTTATCTTGTGGAGCATAGACCCTAAGGTTACCTATTAATAAACACTTCTGCTCTTCCACTTTAACTTCTCATGGGAATAGTTTTGATGTTTAAATAAATAAATTACCCTGTCAGTTGTACTCAATATTAACACATGCTACAGTATGTGTTCTATGTATTATATCATTTGTTTACTTATCAGACAAGCTTTTCCAGAGAAATTTACAATTTAATGTCTATAAAATGTGCATTTTGTGCAAGTACAAGTAACAGATGTGCAGGTCCAATAAGGTAAAGATAAATTTAAATGAATACAGTGGGGTAGCACACGTTGGAAGAGCAATGCAAACAGCAATCTCATTCAGATGTAAACTTACAGTCACAAGCAAAATTATTTTAGCAGCTAAAAACATGAGCTATATATATAATTCCAAATTTTTCCAGTTCAAAATTTAAATTAAGTAGGAATTTGTTTAAATTAGTATATAATTATTAAATTCATTATACAATGAAAATGTTTCCAATTACAGTAAAATCCAAAAACTTATTTCATATTCTTTCAGTAGTCTTGGTGCTGTTTGAAGGACTTGATATAGGCAATAATGTTCATTTTAGATTGCAATGTTGTTGTTGTTGTTGTTTTTTTAGCAGTGGCTCTGTGGGTCAGGATCTGCGCCTGTGACTGGAAGGTTGCCAGTTCAAATCCTAAAGCTGGCAGTGGAATCCTACTCCATTGGGCCCCTGAGAAAGTCCCTTAACCCCAACTACTCCAGGGGCGCTGTACAATGGCTGACCCTGTGCTCTGACCCCAAGCTTCTCTCCCTGTTTGTATGTCTGTGTCTCATGGAGAGCAAGCTGGGGTATGTGAAAAGACAATTTCCTGATACAAGAAATTGTATATGGTTAATAAAGTGATGTTATTATTATTATTATGTTATTTATGTTCTTCCATATTCATGTGGGTTTCCTCCACTGAGCTCCAGTTTCCTCCCACAGTCTAAAGACATACTGGTAGGTTAACTGACTTCTGGGAAAACTGGCACTGCTGTGAGTGATTGCATATCTGTGTTTGTGTGTTCCCCGTGATGGACTGGTGTCGTGTCCAGGCAGGTACATTCTGGACAGTATATGGATGGATCATGGTAAGAAATTGTAATTCATATATATTTAAAGAAGTTCACAGACTCTTCTCAGCACTGCTCCTTAACAAGGTAAACCCTCATGTGAAACAGTCTAAGATTAAACGTTTTGTCAAAAACAACACACAAAAGAAAAAAAAGTTTTCTATTTTCTGTTCATAATTTAACAAGTTTACACTTTAGCATCTAATGACAGTGCATGCTGTATAAAACCTATAAATAGATTTAAGCACAAAAAGGATGATTATAATTATCCCATAGAGACACCAAGACGACACCAAGGTCATGTGTTGAGATCAAAGCAGTACAGGTTGAAGAACATCCAAAAAATATCTGGAAGGATCTCTCAGAACCGGTTTCAAAATCCAAAATTAGACTGAAATGTTGAAATCAATTTTCTATATATCTTTTCTGTTATTTTGACGGCTCGTTTTTTAGCGTAGGCAGCAACAGTATGGATGTTCGAATGGCTGTTCTTCACCAGTAGCCATATCACCCTGTAACTCACGACTGGCAACCCACTGAAGCTAAGCAGGTGTGAGCCTGGTCAGTACCTGGATGGGAGACCTCTGGGGATTGGCCCTTACCAATCATGGCCTCCTAATAATCCCCAGCTATGAATTGGCTTCATCACTCTGCTCTCCTCCCCATTAATAGCTGATGTGTGGCAGTGCACTATGGCTGCTGTTGCATCATCCAGGTGGATGCTGCACATTGGTGGTGGTGGATGGGAGTCCTCATTACCTGTAAAGTGCTTTGAGTGGAGTGTCCAGAAAAGTGCTATATAAGTCTAAGCAATTATTATTAGTAGTAGTATACAAGTGGCTATTTCTCAGTTAAAGAAAACTGTTCACAACATTCAGATACAGATTTTACTTGTTTGTAAATGAGAAGATTTTTATATTTACCTTCCACATTAGCAAAACGGCTCTGTCTCCCTCTGAAGTTGGAGCCTTAATTTTTCTCCAGAGGTGTAGCTGTACAAATTCCACTGTTATAAAACATGAAATCATATACATCATCCAGATTAACATGATATACGAATCACAGTGTATTCTGAGACAAAACTGTGTTAAGTATTTTCTCGATATTCAAAATAACAGCCACACTTTTCATTTGCATCATTACATGTAAAAAGCACACTAAATAAGCTTGCATTATTACTACCGTCAAATACATTATATTGACTATGAAGTGCATTTCTAACTGATTTCTAAACTGATTAATATTTTAGATATTTTTTAAGCAGTACTAGGCATAAGTAATACTAGGTGGCACAGTGGTACAGTGGGATTCCAAGCTGTTTACATTTTGCAATATCTAAACAAAACGAACTGTCTGCTCATCTATCCATCGTCATGATTGCTGATTGTTTTTAGAACACTTTGTGTGCTTACGAGGTAATAATTCCATACAAGGTAAGTTCACACATGAGACATAAAAAACATGGTAGACTTTGCTTTTGCAAATGTAATGAAAGGAACTGAAGGTCACTCAAGAGAAATGAAAGTCAACACTGGTGTGTTTTTCTCAGTAAAACACTGAATTTATTTTATAAAAATACCACCAGTGTCACGAGTATAATTTTGAAAATAATGTGTGTGTACCTTCAACCTCTCTTCTTAGATTCCATGAGCCTGGAATATGAAATGTCTTTCTTAAGACTGGAAATACCAAAAATGTGTCTCTTGGGTAGATCAAGCATCGAAAGAAAATGATTACTGCTCCCCAGAGAAACCTCAGCTGCTAGGTTGCTTATCGGAAGAGGGAATAATAGTCTGCAATGTCGTGGATCATTAAAATCCACAGTCAAGTCTCTTGAAAACACAGTAAATAAAAAATATATGCAGGTTTAAGATATGGTAGAGTTCCAAAACCAAACAACAGAAATTCCTTTCCACCTTGCTTGTCACTCTGCCTGCTGCAACCATTAACTCATGCACACCAACTCTCTCTACAATAAGTTTCCAAACTCATTCTCTCTCCAAATTACTATTATTTAGTTTATTTCTCTTCTTTCAGTGACTTCATCAACACATCACAGTTCCCCTCCACATCCCCTAAGGATGTATTCTTCTTGGTTCCCATTTAGGTAAGATGTTCACATTGTGCACCTATGCATTTTTGTGGTAGTCCTTGTTATACTGGAGGGATATTGAGATAAAAGAAAACGTGCATAGCCATTGTAGAAAATGATGTTCCATTTCCCATTTAAACTGCTTTCCCATTAGGTGGTATTTTAGGGGATCCCCCTCATGCAGGGACATTGGAGGTTGGATGACTTTGTTTATGAAATAAATGAAACCAAACGTCAAACTTTAAATTAGGTGGTGAATTCACGGAACTGTAACCACAAAAAAATCTAAATAATAGACCTCTAAATGCCCCAGAAGTATAAAGCGTAAAGGCCGAGAGGCATGCCTTTCCTTTAGATGATGCTGAACTTTATTTCAATGCTGCACTGTATTTAGATTTAGTTTCTCCCTTGACTATTCTGATATCATGCGTGACCGCTGAATCTGTCTCTTTCATTGACATTTCTGTATTTCCTTCTCAGTAGAAAACCTTTTCCTTACCGTCCATCAAGGAAAGTGCAGTTGATTCCTTACTCCAGTCACTCCAATAAATTGAACCATTTAATGAACACTGAACTGAAACAATGTAGCTGGTACAGAGCTTCACATCTTGTATATCAAGCATTTCTGTCCAACCATTTGTGACAGTATGAATAACCTAGAAACCCAGTACAGAAATAAAAGGATAAAAAGCAGACTACACAACTGTAACAATTTAATAACATTTTTAATTTACAAGTAATGATTAGGTAACAAAGGTTAATGATGAAAGTATTAAGTTAACATTGACGTCAATTAACTTCTCAAAATGCCACATTTATTTCAGTTCATGTCATAAAGAGTTTGTGACATGATGAAGCCACTTAGCTGTAATTGAAAAATCAATATCAGTGACAAGGGTATGATTATGTAAGTAATGATCATCTTCCTTCTCTTTATTAAAAAAACTAACTGAGACTCTAATTAAAAAACAAAGAAAAGACAGCCCTACAAGTAAGTAAGGAAGCTTTCCTAATGGGTTTTCCATTTTATTGCAATATGTAGTGATGAGTTTGGCTGGGAGTGATGAACTGTATGAAGTACACTTCATACAGTACTTTTGTAAATAGCAAATTGCTTCTGCTATGTACAGCACTATGAAGATTAAAGGGCCACAAACACAAAAATTCAGATGGTGTTCATAACTTATGCACAGAAAATGGTTCTTGAAATGAAGAAAACACTTTATCCTATAGCAGGAAAACTGAAATAAAAGTGCTAAAATGTTTTTCCAGAAAAGCCAATTTATTGTCATTCAGGATTTCAGAAATAAATCACAGATTTAGAGCCTGGCTACATATTTAAAACAATATCCTAATTAAAAAAAAAAAACACCCAGACACAAATTAGCTTACCAGTATATCTCTGGACTATGGGAAGAAACCGTAGAAAACATCCACATAAACACAGGGAGAACTTATAAACAGATAGCACACTAGGTCCATAACACAACCCAGGGCCTCAGCGTTGCAAGACAGCAATGCTAACCAATGTGTCCTCTGATCAATTATTAATTCTATCAAAATTATATTAATTTTATCTATAACAAACGTGTATTTCTTATCAGAGCTGACCTAAAAATTCTAACAATGTAATAATTTACATTTACAACAGCTGATTTCTTGTTGAGCATGTTCAGTCCTACCGTTGTGTTAGAGTCACTTTCTTGGCTCTTTACTTGACAGATTAATGTCAGGTAAGAATGACCTCGTAGTTCATGTGCAGTTTTCCACTTTACTCTTATAACTTTCTTCAACATAGGAGTTATTACAACACCTTCAGGGGGGCTGGTCTTCACTACAACACAATAGTAAAAAGGACAAATCAGACACAAACTACTAAGTAGGTGTATTTCAAATACAACTTTAACTTCATGTGCATGACACTCAAAGTTTTGAGGACAGTAGGTTGATTGTTCAGAGCCTTCCATCATATTATGGCCCCTCTGGACAATTCCGGGTCACCCAGACGGCATCTTGTACCTCCAACAACCTTATTTACTGTATCTCTTGCAGTAAATGCCCAGCCATCTACATTGGAGAAACAGGAAGGAGACTCGGAGACCGCTTCAGAGAACACGTCAGGGCTGTGAAGATTAAAGATCTCTCCAAGTTCATTGCTTCTCATTTCACCTCTGACAGCGACGACCACTCTAATCTCTCCGTCTGTGTTCTCAAAAACTGTTTTCCGAACTCATACATCAGAAAGACTACCAAAACCAAAATGATCCTGCAGCCAGGATCACACCTTCCCCCTTCATTTTACGACAGACTACTCTTCTTCTAAATTTTCTCCATTCATTGGAAGTTTAATTTCACACCTCTTTACACCTATTTTGACTTCACACCTCTTGATTGGCCTCTCTTTCTGTCCCCTGCTCCCGCCTCTCACTCCTCCTCCCTCCCAGCCCTTGTTTTCCCGCTACATTATCTTTGCTACTGCCTTGTCTCTCTCACACCTGAAGAAGGCTCCACGGCCGAAACGTTGTGTTTTCTTTCTTTTTTTTTTCAGCTTGGAATAAACCTATAACTTGTTCCTTTGCAGCCTACACATGCTGACGCAGCTACCCACCTGAACTATCATATTATGTCTTTGACTATGACAGCAAATGATCCGTTATTCAAACTAGCATAAGGCTGTTATCCTTATTATAACTAGATAGACTCACGGTGACCATAAAAATACTTTGTCACTACATGGAAGTGTAAGAACAAATCCTCAACTTGAAAACTGCATCTGAGAACAAAACACCTGTTTTGAGAAAACTGCCTACAAATGCTTACCTACTGTCATGGGATCCAAATGCTGTTTTTCTGAGTAGACTTTGCCCAAGACATTTTCTGCTTTAATGACAACTGTATGGACATCAAAATGATACACATTGCCATCTCCAAAAGTGCATTCATTTGTTTTGCTCTGGCATGTTTCATTTTCATTGAGTCTGGAGAAAAAGAAAACCCACATAAACAAACCAACAGCACAAAAGGCCTTTTTTAATGACATATTATATATATATAAATCGCATGGAACGTCAAAGAAATCTGCAGCTAATGAAATTACAGTTTTTAACTTACTGCAGTTACGTCAATTCAGTAACAAATCAGCAAAGATTTTTTACTGCCTTGGTATACATTCAGTTATGTATCCTAGCAGCACCCTGCACCATACCACAGCGAATAAAAGCCAAGTTTCCAAACCAGAAAAAAACGCTTTTGCAAACCATCAGAAAAACTCTAATTGGAATACAATTGAATCATTATAATTTTTTGGGATCTTGCACACCAAGGCTGCAAAGTGCTTTGCCTCGAGTCATTTGCTAGCTTGGCAAGATAACTGGTTTAAACTCCCACTAAAGTTTGGCTTTACTTCTGCTTCCCTCTCTCCTTCCACAACATGTACAATTTGCCTTGAAATGTTGGCCAAGAAAAGGAGCTCTATACATTTTAAGTCACCTGTTTGTTGTGTTTTCTGGACATACATACATGTAGGTAAAAATCCATTGCCAAACCTTGCAGTACAGTTCATGCAATACGGTAAATATATTCTCAAGCCACATTTTGGTTCCTTATCAGATGGCCAAAACTAAGCTTAACATGTCAAGCTTGATTATTTCAATGGTCAGGAACAGACAGATCTAATACACTGTAGCTGAAAGACTTGTTCTCATCACTCAAACCATCTTTACTTCTTAAGCTCAGACATGAGCAGGTAAAATCTAATTGAGCAAAAAAACTAAAACTTTTACTTGCATTCACACAGTGAAAAACAGATTTATGGAAAAACTTACACTTCTCTGATAAGTGTGTAAGTTGTATATAAGAAGGTATTTCTTCCAACGTCCCAGTAACAAGTAAAAGCCGTGGAGAAAAATAAAACACAGGAAATATTTGTGGGTTTTTGCGGGGGCACTGTTGAAAAATTAACAGTTAAGATTAATTTATAAAAAGACAAAAAATGTTCTTTTCACAAAGGCCAAACTAAACAAAACAAAAATGTACGATTCATAGTATTACTCATTGTATACATTCACATAATTTTGTTGAATAAAAGGCTTCAGAAAAATATTATTTTAATCACTTATTCATAGTGTTGATCAGTACATGTGTCAAAGTAAATTGAAGTAAATGTAAACAAAACATATCACAAATAGTTCACAACAGCACCACAAACAAGACCAGTAAAGAAAGAAATGACTACTGAAAAGAAACTAATGGCTAAATGTTGTTTCTTATAGTTTTGGTTTCTCATCTCATATGCAGAGAGTTTTCTGGAAAAAAGATACTTTTTTACAATCACTGTACTAGACCTGGAAATAATTTGGGGTATTTTACTCAAAGAATTGCTTAGCCTTAATAATGGTTACATAATCAACAGCTGACAGTGTATACATTCACACATTCTTAGTGATCAGAATAACAGTTACTTGCATTGACTGCTCATGAAGTGAAATGGTACAGTATATTTACAGACTGAGACACTAACGTGAGCTGAGCCATTAAGCAATTTATGTAAGTACAACTTTACAACTTAATGACCAGAAAACAGGTAAAAACAACACTGAACAGAATAATGTATATTTAATAAAACTGAAGTTATATCTGTATAGTTCAGAACGGCAACCTCCTCAGACAAAAAGTTTAAAAAGACTCTTAAGTCAACATTGCAGGGGAACCACCGGCAAATTTACTAACTACAATACTTTCCAGAGTACCCAATTTATTGAAACTATGTTGAATGCTGGTCATTTTCTGAAACTTTTTGCCGTTGACTGTTTTAAAGCCCAGAATTCCTCTACACTTACATCCTCACATTACATTGATAGACTAATTTATTTTTAAATCCTCTCCATTAACTTACAGATTTAACCTTTTCACACTTTGCCCCCAAATATCTGTTTAATAATAATTAATAATTGCTTACACTTAGATAGCACTTTTTCTGGACACTCCACTCAAAGCAATTTATAGGCAATAGGGACTCCACTCCACCAAAGTGCAGAGAGTCAGGATCTCGATTTTACATCTCACCCAACGGACAGCGCCTGTTTTACAGTATAGTGTCCCCGTCACTATACTAGGGCATTAGGACCCACATGGACCACAGGGTGAGCACCCCCTGCTGGCCCCACTAACACCTCTTCCAGCAGCAACCTTTGTTTTTCCCAGGAGGTCTCCAATCCAGGTAGTGACCAGGCTCACACCTGCTTAGCTTAAGTGGGTTGCCAGTTGTGAGTTGCAGAGTGATATGGCTGCTTGCTTGGACACTCTTCCTCACCGTTGTGACCATTCTCACTTGGTCTTCCTTTTGTTCTCCTTATATCCCTGCTACCTTCCCCTCTCTCCCTCACACCTAAAGAAGACTCAACAACTTCATTTTTCTAATTTTTTAGCATGGAATTAACCTTCACGTTTTACAGTACTCACATCCTGCTTTTATGTGTGTTCCTCCAAAAACTGTGTCCCTTCCATCGACATTCATATAACACATAACAAACCCAGACCGGCGTGTAAAATTCCTAATGTGAACAGCAAAAACAGTTGAATTGATGGCAGAATACTGGTCTTCAGGAATCCGTTCATCATTTAGTTTCCAGAACAGCTGATCAGGGTTAAAAGAAGAAATATTCCTGCACGGACTCCTGAGGGGGGCTGTGAAGAAAATCTGGATATCGGACCCCATCTTAATAACTGGATCTTTAGGGTGAACTGTGCAAGCTTCATCGTAACCTATTGAAACAACAAAAATACATGATTTTAGGTGGATTATCGGCACAATATCAGTTCATTTACAACTATCAAATTTTGGCAGAATTTTCAGTTAAAGGAAATGAATGAAAAGGAAAAGGCTTAGCCCATACTATCAAAATATTTGGTATTACAGGAAACTGTTTCCTGAAATGTTCATTTCTTATTCTGATCTGTTTAACTAAATGTGTAAAATGAAATTAGAAAAAAAGAACAGCTCCATCCTAACACAGTCAGGTCTGTTAGTCAAACAACTGGACAGCTAAACATGACTGTAATTAACATGCAAGAGTTAGACATTTCTCCCCTTGTGAATGCTGAGGTTTAATTTATAAGAGATGAAGAAACACATTCACAGCAGCAGTCATGTTTGGGAAAGTTGAACTGTTAATTCTGGGTTAGCTCTACTGAAATTACAGCAGAAAATTGATATAGACTTGTGTTTCTGAATATAGGAGAAACATTTTAAGTAAAAAGAGTAGAACAATGTGAAATATCTAAGTGGAAGGAGAAAAGGAGGTAGGACGTTAACACTGCTTGTGGTAAACAGCAACACAAGATTCAACAAAACCTGCTGTTGAAGGATTGTGATGCACAGAATATTACCCGCTGAACTCTGTTGACACATTCATTTATTCCAAGCATTAGCATAATAAAGTTATATTTTATGTATTTTCTTTATAATTTATAATGATACTAATTATGTTCTTGTAACACAGCTGCAGATCCTTTAGAATTATCCAAAGGGATACAGAGGAGCACAGGGAAAGAAGGAAAATCCAAGGAAATTAAGAAGCTTTATTTTCCCCCAGCTATTATGGATGATTTATTAGGTTTGTTCAGCTACTCTTTCAAGTTCCTTAGTTTTAATAAGTATTTGTACTTTGCCATGTCTGACTGTACTTTCCAGTCTGTAAACAAACCCTAAATACAAAAAGTCTGTGTGCATCACCTGCTGAACCACTGCATTATGTGCTTCTATGATGTTGGATGGCTATTTACCAACACTGACAAAATGTGAAATGTACAAAAATGACAAAACATCACTGTCATTCCAGTGATGCACCGAGCCTTGTCTGTGGACATGAGGTTCTGTACTTGTGAACTGTGAGATGTATTAAATAAGTTCTGTTGGCCGAGCTTGTAAGATACTGTAGTATTGATAGGTAGCACCCTTCCTGTCCTGGCATTGATGGACCAATCTCTGGTCAGAACTTCCCATAAATCTCAGATTAATACAATATATCACTGTCAACCAATCAGAAAATCTACAATTGAACAGTCACTTCAATTGAGGAAGATAACTGAGGATGTGAAACTTGCTTTCTGACCACTGTCTCCCTAAACTGACCAAGTAAACACAAAGTGTTAAGTTCAGTCCCTGTACTGCTGTTAAACTAATTATGGGTAAAACCACAACTATACAAAAGTTCCATTTGCGTAAACTTACCTTTACACACTATGGTAAATACCAAAAGCACCACTAACAATACACCAGACATTGTCACTCTCACACCTGAAAAAAAGAAACAATAGCAAAAGAAATCAGTATAAAGTAAAGTCTAAAATGTTTTTGGCTTGTTTTTCTGGCAAAACAGTATGTTTATTTGCATAAATATATGTTACATCTGAAGCATAATTATTGAGAAAAACATTTCACAAATTAAACTGATTAGATCAGTTGTATGTTGTGTGTTATTGCTGAAATTGTATTTGTGACATAAAAGAGCAAAAGCAGGTGGCACAGTGGTTAGTATTACTGCCTTGCTGTGCTGGGGCCCGGGAGCAATTCTGGATCAATCTGTGTATATTCGCCCGGATTTCCTCCAGGTGACCCAGTTTCTTCCCAGAGTCCAAAAACAGAATAGTAGCTTAAAATGCATTCTGGAAAAATTGGCCCTGGTGTGTGTCTGTCTGCCCTGTGAAAGACCAGTGTCCCAGTGTCCGATTCAGGATGTATCCTGCCTTACGTGGTGCGTTGCTTGCCAGGATAGCCTCCAGCTCCACTGCAACTCTGAATTGGAAGAGATGGTTACAAAATGGATGAATGCATTAATAGCTTCAGAACACTTAGGCAAGCTTTAGCAAGAAAGCCACAGTCTTTTAACAGGACAAGACTCTGATCAGAAGAAAAATGTAAATTCATTCAAAACATTCTTTAAAAAGACTACACATCTGAAGTTTCCTGTATTGATTGTATTGCTTATCACCATTACATTTTGGGTATGACCATTACAATGGCCTAAAACCAATACTGTATGGAGACAAAGACACTTCTTGCCATCTTCAGTGGTCTATTGCCATGAAGCAGTTCTCTTCTTGTTGGCTTCCTGGTTAACAGGGCAACCTAAACAAAAGGAGCTTAGCAGGACGTTTTTTAAAGATTCACAAAATGAGAAGAGATCAAGGACAGTAACTCTATTAAAGGCTTATTCAAGTTAATCCCTCAATTGCCAATTAGAAACTGCTTTATGCTGTGAGATTTGACTTTCTGTCTTTTGAAGTTGCTTCACAAAGAGCTTTATATGACATGAGTTAATGTAAATCAGTGTGGTTTTTACTGTTGCAGTTGAAAGTCATTTCCTAATTATATTCTCATTGGGAAAAAGATCTTTTAACCACCGTAATCTTTCTGTACATATATCACATGCAATTATTTTGACTATGCCAATAATGTTTGCTAAATCAAACTACCACTCCCACGCGGATAACAGGAATATGAGCTAGGATCCAGCCTGTTATCCAAATAGTCACATGTAGTATACAGTATGTGAAGGTGCAGAGAATTTCCTACAGCACATTGTAGGGGTTGTGATTGACATTCTGTAACGAACAGTTATTTCCGGACCCTTTGCGGACGACACAATCCGAAGAAGTGGGGAAACACTAGGAAAACGTCATGCAGGAATACGGGGCTGAAAACAGGGGGGTGTGTCCAAAGTGCGCTGGTGCACGGGGGAGGTGTGGCCGAGGCAAACAATCCAAAAGTAATCCATTGAGGGAATCCAAATACACAAGAATAAGTCCATAGCCAGGTGATCCATCCAAACACGGAATTAAAAACACGAACCGGGTCGGAACCGGCGGACTAGGAACAGGAACAGAGGTTAAAACCTTAACGGGACCAGGCGCTTCCAGGTCCCGGACTCGCACAGTGCGGAAACCAGATGCAGAGCCCGGATGAGCGTCAGCGCCTGGCTTTTAAGGTGGGCTGGGAAAAGGGATCAGGTGCACAGAATTAAGTCTAAAGTGAAAGGGCTGGAGCACCCTTAAGGAGGGGGGACTATAATCGTGACACATTCCCTGTGGGTGTTTCAACAGTTCAATTTGGGCTGTGAAAGCAAAACAGATAGGGCAGCCCAGTGGCAGCTATGGGGCCCTGGGTTCAATTCTAGGCCTGGGGTACTATCTTTGTGAGGAGTTTGTATATTTTCCCTGTGTTCACATCGGCTTCTTCCCACAGTCCAAACAGATCCTGGTAGGCTAATTGGCTTTTGGGAAGAATTGGCTCTGGTGTGAATGTGTGCGTGTTTGTGTATATGTGTGCCCGTTGCATGCTGAGATAGGCTCTGGCTCCCCCTGAGACCTTTAATTGGAAAAGGTGGTTAGAAAATGGATGGATGACAGTAAGACAGGCTTCTGAAATAGTGAATAGTGAAGAAATTAAGTGATTTTATAGGGATGCTGAGATTACACAAGAAAGAGTTCAGGGTTTAAACTGATGTGCAAAATGATATAAATTATGTGTTGCGACAATGAGTTGGTTGGTGCCGTTTCGATAAATAAAGTTACAATAAAAGATCTTATCCTGTGTTAAGTGGTAAAGTATTAAACATCCCTCACTTGGAACTTGTGACAATCTGAAGATTTGCCAGCACAATGTTCAGACTAGTCTAAAACCTCCCATCCCACATCTTCACATTTCACTTTTTACAAATACACAGAGGTTGTTACAACAAACAGAATTATTGCTGACTACATCCATAACAATCTGCGAGATAAAAGCTTTTGTTTTGCTTAAAATGATCTGGCCATGAAATCACACCCCAGGCAAATGTAATAGCTATGGCAACCAGCAGGAACTTTCAATAAATTTAAAACATTTCAAAGACATGAGAAGGTTTTACTCCATTTTCTCTCCATTACTCAATTTACTTTCTTCTGTACCACCACAATTCATGGTGAAATGAAACAGACAAAATAATACACAAACCAATCAGACCTATCAGATGTGGGATTTTTCAGGTCTGTTACATATCAATACCTTTTTAATTAATGGAGCGCAATGTTATTTGCCTCACTGCGGCCTTATATATTCATCTCTCCTTCTCTGCTGCCTCATAAATAGAATACTAATAAAACAACAACAGACAGCTTTTTAGTGTTAGTTGCACCTTGGTTCACATGAATTTCCTACAGAAGATCCTCCATCACCTTGTGAATGTTGATGTATTAGATTATTTGAGCACCAGGATGGCTCTGAATGATAAGAGACCCATCAAGTCCACTTCGGTTTTGTTGTTCTTACCAGTAAGGATCATAATGGGAATGATGGAAAAAACCTGCTGCAAAAACTCTGGTTGCTGCTGGAAGAGGTGTTAGTGGGGCCAGTAGCGGGTGTTCACCCTGTGATCTGTGTGGGTCCTAATGCCTCAGTATAGTGTCGGGGACACTATACTGTGAAAAGATGCTTCCTTCGGATGAGACGTAAAACTGAGGTCCTGACTCTACCAGGGCATTTCTCAAATAGAGCAGGGGTGTTACCCTGGTGTCCTGGCCAAATTTCCCATTGGTCTTTACCAATCATGTCCTCCTAATAATCCCCATCTATGAATTGGCTTCATTACTCTGCTATCCTCCCCACTGATAGCCGATGTGTGTTGAGCGTACTGGTCCACTATGGCTGCCGTTGCATCATTCAGGTGGATGCTGCACATTGGTGGTGGAGGGGAGTCCCCACTACCTGTAAAGCGCTTTGAGTCGAGTGTCCAGAAAAGTGCTATAAAAGTGTAAGTGTATTATTATTATGATTATGATTGAATACCTCTTTCTACTTCCTCAGAAAGGGACTTTTTCAATAGCAAAAAAATATGAGCCAAAACTGAACTCAGCTGAACCCAGGAGTCTGAACTAAAGTGAATCTGTTAACAGCCATGACTAAACCTTATTTGTTGGCAATCTAGCCAACAGCTGAACAACTGGCCACAAAACTAACTAGAGGTGGTAAATCATTGCAACATGCTTCTCGGGGCAAATAACTACAGTATGACCAATATAAATGTAACCTTTTTAAAATCTTTTTACTGTTCATTTACTCAAAGAATTAACATTACAGAACAGCTAAAGTGTTGTGAGTAACTGCACAACAAATTGCTTTCTTGAATTTTCTGAAACTAAATCATTCAGCAATAAAAAATGAGTAATCTGTGGTCAGGACAGAAGTTGTAGAGCAGATTGTTTGCCAAAAGAAATAAGTGTTGCATTAGTGCAAAACCTTAGAGACATTGAGAAAAGCCTCTGAATCAGAAAAGCCTCTGAATCTCACCCATTTGTTTTGCAATCCACAGCATCATTCTCGGAAATTGTTATGCATTTTAATGCATTTTCTTAAACAACAAAGGGGTGTGCTAGAATATTACAGTCAAGTGATTTGTAGCTTCACAGGCAAGTGACCAAGTATGAAAAAGACTCACTTTCGACTTGAGTCATTCCGAATTTTATATATAAAGTGTTATTATAAAAATATATAAGATATATAAAACAAAATATTTTCAAAACTGGAACTGGTCTGCCTGGACTATTTACTGCTATTTCATTACCATACTCAGGCATTTTTCACTGGAGTCACTGCCTAATTATTCCTCCCACTTCAAGGGGTCACTACACAGTACGTGGTCAGCCAGTCACAGGTCTGTGCTGACTACATGGTACCGACTGTTCACTGTATATGTCATAATCTACAAGACACATTTAGCACACCATATTCACACAGCAATATGGACTGACTCTTTTCTTCTAAATAGAACCCATGGTCTTTAAAAAGTGACTTTCTCTCTTTTTTTGGTACAAAAACATTGAATTCTGTAAGGAAATGTTTTCTGCTGAATAAATTCATGCACCAGGCAATCAACTTTCTCCTGTTTGCTACTCTGCTTTTGTTTGTGGGTTACAGGGCTAGAATATTAGAATTTCATGTGCTGTATGACATTGACCTCTTGAATGGCTAGATTTATACATACAGCGCCTTCAGAAAGTATTCACTCCCCTTGGATGTTTTCAGCATTTGTTATGTTGCAAACTCAAATACGAATACATTTATATGAAATTTGTTGTCAGTGATCTACACAAATGATTGTATATTGTCAAAGCAGAATTGAGTCACGGAAACGAATTAAAGGAAAATGTTCAAATGTTTTGATTTTATAAGTATTCAACCCCTTTTTGTATGACACTCCAAACTGAGCCCAATTTGGGACTTCCCTTGTGAGATCCACCTAAATCTTGAATGGAGTCTATCTGTGGTCTCCAATTGGATTTCAGAAGAAATACCTGTGCCTGTCAGAAAAGAAACTCTATGTAGACTAGAACTGTGAGGAGGCATAGATCTGGGGATGGATAAAAAACTGTGCTCCCAGAAATGGACTCTTCCTAAAGCAGGCCTCTTCGCCCCAGACTAAGCAAGTGGGCAAGAACCACCCTGGCAGAACTAGAGTGTTCCATGGCAGAGATAGATAGAAGAGAACAATCCCTGAAGAATGACACAAACATGGGAGAGTACCCTAGATGGAAGCCACACTTGAGAAAAGGCCACATAGTAGCAGACCTGGAGTATGAAAGAAGGAACACTGCAGACCTTGAGACCGTGTGACAGAAGATTCTCTGGGCTGATTAAACATATATTGAATGCTATGGCCTGAATCCAAAGGTGTTATGCCTGGTATAAACCGAACATAGCTAATCAGCCCTGTAACACCATTTTTAACATGAAGCACGGTGGTGGCAAAATCACCCTTTTCGGTGATGCTTAACACCGTCAGAGACCGAGACACTTGTTGTGGTAGAGGGAACAATGAATGGAGCCAACTAATAGGTAAATACTTGAGGAGAACCCAGTTTAGGCAGCAAAAGACCTTAGTCCTGGATAAAGAATCACATTGCAACAGGACAACTATCTTAAGCACACAGCCATAATGGCAGCAAATTGGCTTCAGAACAGGAAGGGACTGTCCTTAAGCGGCTCAGCCAAAACCGGGACTGAATCCCATTGAGAATCTGTGGAAGGTCTTTAAGATTTGGGTTCTAAGCGTATCTGCAAGGAAGAATAAGCAAAAATCCCCAATTTCAGATATGCAAATAAGCAGAGAGAGACATACCCATGAGGAATCAAAGCTGTAATTACTGCAACAGGTTCTAGCACAAAGTACTGACTCATGGGGATGAATAGTTCAGTAAACAGATTAAACATTTTTAATATAATATAATATTTTGTCAGAATTTTTTTTTACGCTATAAAGTTATTTTTCCTCCTTTAAACTATTGTGGATGTTCTGTCAAAGGGAAAATCATTTCACTGCATTACAAATTCTGGTTGAAACACAAGAATATTTGCAAATATTTTGTGGTATATTGTGTTGTTAATTCTTTATATTTGTTTGTCCTGTCCTGTTTCACCCAGGTTAAACCGATCTATTATTCAGCAGAATTGTCCTGGAGAATAAAAATGTATCACATACTGTACCTCACATTCGCTTACGGCTCAAGCTTTTTTCTGATGCCTCTATTTTGCAACATTATGTTTCTTCTGCAGTTTGATCGTGGATTCAAACCACTGCCCCCCAAGCACCCCCCAGTCACCAACCCATGTGCACAAAACAGGGAGGAATTTTATTGAACATCCTAGACATGGTAACAGTGTTACTGCGACAGTTCATTTGGTGGTCTGCAAGCAAATGGTTTCAAACTTTGCATTCCAAAGTGACAACTCTAAATGCGTTTATGTTATGTTAACGATAAACTGGTCGTTGGAACAGCATAGGAAGTAATAAGCTTCCTTTATTGAAGATATTGTGGGATTTATTGTTATGAAGCCATATACTGCCTTCCGAACAATATGGCAAGTGGTTCACAGACTTAAAAGACAATTGAAATTCTCTGCAAATTCAGATGGTCGGGTAGGGCTTTTTTCATACCAAGGTTTTTGTTACATACTCTCTGTTGTGATTAACAATGATGCATGATATCTGAGTCATAGTGATCTTTTCACTTACATTTTGCAGGTAAAATTACATTTTTATCGTATACCAGGCTGAAAACCAGAGGTATGAACAAACCACCTCTTATTAAAGCTTTAAAAAAGGTCTCAAGCACCTCTCAACACAATGTTAATAACCTAACTAACAAAGGAAAACCATGGTGTTGAGAAATGAGTTTCTTATAGCAAGGACCTGGACTGTAAAGTACCCTGTACTTTTTATATCTGTGTATTTTTTTCAAGTTTGTCTTATTTTTCATTAGGATTCAACCATGCAGCCACAGTCTTTGTTTCTGAAATTTACTGAACTAATGCCAAATTAGTATGAGGCTAGCCCACTCTATGTTGGTTTTATGCTACTTTTTCACAGTTCTGGGGTGAGGCTGCAGCCTCAGTTTTCTTAATATCTAAATAATTAAGGTTTGGAGTCACTGCCACGTTGAAAAACAAAACCGTTCTCCCCTCTACCCAGAGCTTCAGGGCTTCACAAGGCTGTCTTTTGCCGCACTGCAAAAAAGCCCCAGATTCCCTTGCAAGATAGCAATTGGCTGCTGCGTGTGTTCATGCAGATGCCCTGGAACTGTATCAGGGGTGTGTCTGATGCACACCTCTTCTCACTGCAATGCATCCCTCTGCTGCTATGGGCAACAACCAGCTCAAACATGCCACCATTTAGGACACCATTCCAAAGCTGGAGGCCTGTCTGAAATCCAAATCTAGAGCGAGGGCACTGTAATAAACGCTCCTACACCTAGAAACCTGTGAAGAGGTAATGAGCTGCCACATTCAAACAGGCTCTCTAGAATTGTACTGAATAACAACACACAGGTGGCTTATGAAGCTAGGTGTCCTATTCAAGCACCTGGTAGTCTGGTAGACATGCAGAGAAGGGCATTCGACTCAGTTGTGTGTGTCCTCATACACCCTAGTCTCTTTGCATACGCTGTTATAGAAATGTCTGCGTATACACACATGCAGACCATCGCCGATAACTACAGTATACCGTAACGCTGTCACGCGAAAAGCAGGACGCTGAACAACTCTGCTTACAATTAACGAGCACATTGGCTTGTGCTCTCTTATTATCTATCATAACAGAAAGACATACATCAACAAAAAGCAGAGTGCCAAAGTCGTCACGTCATAAATCCCAGTCTCCCTAACTAGGCGTAAAGTACATCTTTCTATAGTATAACCAACCTGTCCCAACTCTGAACAGTGGGCTATAAAAGGGTATCTTTCGGTAACCGACAACAGGAATAAAACACAGAACGCGATTAAGGTTAACACACGAACAGAATCATTTACAGTGCAATAACGCAGGATACCATTGTTGCCCCTGTGGTACAAGACCGCTACGACCTTGGCTTGAGCGCAATTAACAGCCAAATCGCAACATCGCAGCATAAGGAACTTTGTTCGTTAAACTTTGTTTTCTACAGGTAGACGTCGCCCAAAAATCAAACTCAATAAATATAAAGCAAATTTCATTCATTAACATTTTCAAAGAGCACCCAACAGAAGGATAACTATGAATTATTGTTGAAAGTGAGCTGGAACGAAGTCAATGCTTAGGCAAGATAATCATTCTTAAAACATACGTGTTATGTTAAATCGACATGACTCAGATTGCCAAGGATGAACAATTTTTCAAGAACGCTGTTGTAAAACGAGAAATGGTTGTTTTTCAACTTCACAGCAAAAATTACAAATAAACCATAACTGACATAATTATAGTTAAAAACGATAACGGAAACCCATATACCTATCACAGAATTACACTGTTATATATACTTGTAACAGATGTATAATTTCTCATGTATCAGGTGGTTTGAGGTACTGATTCCGACAAGACAGACGTTATATTGCGACGTTAACACAAATGGGAAAATTAATATGGAAATTTACAGGTCATCATACATATTCACGGTACGCATATAATTACGTTGTGTAATATTTGATTTTGGCATTCTTAAACTACTTGGACTTTCTGCTCACATTTTTAATGAGTTAATAAGAATGTAAATCCTAGAAATCCATCTGTTTCCAACTCGCACTGAAGAACACAAAAATCAAAACGACGTAAATGATTGTCAACATTGTATTTTAACTTCACGCTGCAGAGATCGATTTGAATAGGATTACAAGAAGAGTATAAAACAGTGAAACAGAAAAGACTGCAATTTAAATATGGACTGTGCTAATTAGCCTGGCAAAACCACCTTCTTCAACAAACCTTGGTGATTCATCTTTATGTTAACGGAAAATGCATAATATTTAACTGAAAACACAAATTATGTTTTCTCTTTGAATAATAGTTCCTGAAATCGATTATGAAGAAAAACTGTCAATGATAGTCACAAGAATATACAGAATACAGCATCGAATCAACGTTCACTTTCATAAATTAAAGTGGGCGAACACAGGGTCGAAGATAAAAGGGTAAAAACTAATAAAAAATACCTTTTTGAGCACTCTCCCCCCCCCCCCAAAGAAAAACACCCCAACTAATCCTGAATACCAATCGATCACTATAATAATAGTAAGAGTTGAAAAAAATCAACTAGCATGGAATAGTTATATGCATACCCACAGTCCACAAACAGAATAAAAACAAAATAATCTTCAAAGTTTCATCATCTCCCACAGTAACAACAAATCATTTCAAAATAATTTGAAGATGAAAACTTACTAAACAGACTTCTATCGCATTCCTGATAGGTGGGGAAAAATTCCGAGATGTTGATATTCGGTTGTACCTCAGGTATTTTACCAGTCAAATCTAAAAATGATTTTAGATATAGCGCTACCAAGTATCGGGAATACTGGAGTCTGTGATTGCTCAGCGTTGAATGTTTCCTCAGCGCCACAGTCCAAAAATACTACTTACATGAGTTATGGGAGTGAAGCAACAAAACCGAAACCTCGTGTGTGCTCTGTAAACCAGTCTAAGACAAAATAGGCAGCTAACTGTCATTAGCCTGATCGGAAGTTTCGAAATGCCAGTGTTTGGAAAGCAAGCACAGACTCAAGGTGAAAAAAATTGTCGCATTTAATTACTCGCAACACAAGTTTCTATTGCAGTGTTAGAAGACTTAAATCCATCCTTTATAAATCAATTAAGAATAAAATAGAAACTTTGTGAAGCCCCTTATATATAAATATAAAACAACAGGAAGCATTGTTGCGTATCATAAATCAGGTACAATCCTAACGTTTTAGTACAAAATAAAAGGCAATTTCAAACATTTTTTACTTTTGTCCCTGAGCACCCACAACCTTTGCTGCTCCAAATCGGCAAAATTCCTGAAGATTTTTTACGTAAAACAGTATTGTTCTTTACGTAAACACCTTGCAAAGGCTTTTATTTCTCTTTTCCTTTCATTAAGTACAAAAAGCTTGAAATCATTTTAGAAAATAGCGGAAACGATTACATACTGAATGTTTCAGCAGTGATGTGTAAATCAGTTCCGAAACGACTTTACCATGTGACTTTAAAATCCACTGACGAAAACTTGTTCCTCTTTTCAGGAAACACCACAGCCATTTCTTTTCAGTCAATATTTTTTTACACTGAAAAATACAACATTGGCATTCAGTTACAAAACAATTTTGAATTCAAGATTTATTTTCAATTGTGGTCATTCAATAATGTGTTGTCTTGGCAGCCCTGCCCCCCTCTTTTGACAGTAAGCTGACCGGATATTTGGAAAGTCTGAGCCCCCTTTCCAGGAAGACAGCTTCAAGAGGAAGCAAAAGTTAGGAAAGTACCGCCTGCTTGAACTTATTCCCCAGGATCTACAAACAAACTCCCACTGTGACCAGCAGCACAGGCAGGAACAGCATGGGAAGTACAGATCCGGATCCAGACGGCCTGGTTTACAGGGTTAGCTAACAACTGGCCATGGCCCAGTCAGAGAGCACAGCACACCCTCCTTGTATGTTCCAGAGAAAGACCCGAGAAGCTACATCCTTCACTCTGCTGCCTTCAGCAGGCAGTTTGGATCTGAGCACACAGCAGACACCATGAGAAACTGCTAGAGCTGAAGAGAAGACCCAGGAAAAGCCAGAAATCTGATGCAGGTGACATCTTGGACCTCACCCACTCAAGTTTTCCCTGTATTTTGTCCCAGGCTAACCTGGCCCTCCAAGCCTTCCTAATGCCACCTAAAGTGCTTCAGTGTCATGCCTACTTGTACATCCCTGGGTTCCTTAATGAAGCCGTGGCCTGTATCACAAGGGGTTAAGGAATGCTTGGAGAAACTAAGGTGTGGCTGAATAAAATTTTCAGTAGCAGATGACAAGAAAGACGCACAAATGGGACTAGACATGGATGAGCGCCCCACTGGACTTGCAGCACCTTGAGCTGCTCACCTATATCACCATGCAACTCACAACCGGCAGCCCACTGAAGCTAAGCAGGTGTGAGCCTGGACACTACCTGGATGGGATACCTCCTGGGAAACGTAAGGTTGCTGCTGGAAGAGGCGTTAGTGCGGCCAGTAATGGGAGCAGTTGTGAGACCAGTTGACCTGTCTGCTTCCCCTACCCCACAGATAGCAAAGGCAAAAGAGAAAACAGCAGAAGAAAAATGAAGGAGAGATTTGCTGTAGGGGTTATCAAGTCATCCAACAGACCCTGGCCAGCTCCCACAGTCCTGGTTAATAAGGATGGCTCCAAGGGGTTCTGAGAGGACTAGATGAAGCTAAACACTATCCAGAAAGACCTGAATAGACACAGAGTGGATTAAGGCATAGGCTTGAGGTGGTGCAGCTCTTTTGACCTCCATATAAGTTATTAGCATGCTGAAGTCTCTTCAGAGGTGCAGATGAAAACTCTGTTCTCAATCAGGCCATGGCTGTGCAATTCACCATGATCCCTTCTGGGTTCTGCAACACTCCTGCCACCTGAGAGGCTCATGTAGAATATCCTGTTCTCCATTCACCACACCAAGACTCTGTTTGACCTCCACTCTGCACAAGAAAGTGAAACACAAATCTATGATGCGCCACAGAATCCAATATTGGAAAGAAGCCTCTAAAAGCATGGAAAATAAAAGAAAAACACAAAGCTCCATGAGGAGGAAGGGGAGCTGCAGAACATCATCAAGGACCCGGATCCAAATTATGAAGCCAAGTCTGTTGGTCCTGGAGAGCAGGCACGAGCCATTTGTCCCTGCTGTATCCTGGTGTTTGCAGGCAGAAAAAGCAGCAGAATACAGATCCGCATGGGGCTCAGCAGTGACACTGAATCATCCTTATCTTTGTAAGTGCCCCAAGTCTCTGCACCCCTCTGCAGCTCTAGGGACAGCCTGGGAAGACACTGTTGTGTCTTTACTGGCACGCAAAGGGATTTTAACTGTAATTAAATAAAGTAACAAGAACTGTTTGACTGTTCTGTAATTGTCTATAACATGCTACCAAATGAAAGATCTTAGGGGTAGAAAAAAACAATTAACTTGGTTAATTTTTTTTGCATTATTTTTAGCTGGGCTAGCCTACTATTTTAACTGGAAAGTGCTTAATCCTTGCAGCTGAAAACATTTCTCACACTTAAGTGTAGTCAAACACTCAAGAGCCATGGGGACATTTTAGCACACTTTATGGACTGTCTTGAAGCAATCAAGATCTTAACATATTTTTTTTGGATACCAGCAACATGGATTTTTCAGTGGATGGGGGTGGTGAGGATTTTGAAATGCAGCACAATAAAGTTAGCGTGAAACTCAATATTCACTCGGTTTTCATCCTTTGAAACTTCAGTAACCATAGAGAGAAACTTTGCATTTTGTTGAGGGTGACCTGTGACTTTGTTTTACAACTTCCACTTTATCATTTAAAGGCCTATTTATGCTTACGACACAATGTTTCAGATGTCAATAACTTTGCAAGGAAGATACAGATTTCAAACAACTGATGTTGGGAATTTTTGGGAACATTTGGATCAACATATCTCTGTGAACTAGTATCTTCACACATTAAGTCAGTTCCTTGTACTCCCCATAGTGGGACAACAGCTAAACTCATCAAGGGAAAGCAGGGGCAATGATCACACTAAATGGTAAGGTGTGCATATCAATTTATTTAAGATACTATATTTTAACATTAAATTGGTATTCATGTAAATGTAAGTAAAGCTATTACTGACATAAAAAAGTATCAATGGCACACAAATATGTGAGCTAACACTTGGCACTGGTTTTTCAGGAAAATTTGCCTGGCCATTCCCTAGGCAATGATGAGAACTATTGGCCTCCAGACTCAAAGATGGACCAGAACTCTTTCCTTCCAAGAACACTTGAATACGTGCAACGTAATATTACTCAAGTCCGGGAATTTAAAAGTGTAACTCCTCCCTCTCTCTTCAATTCCATTCTTCATTATGGAATTGGGAGTTAAATATTCAACAATGTAACCAGCATGCTCATTTTGCTCTCAACTGTATTTATGGAGATCCGGCTCCTTTTCAATTAAGAGCTTACTTGCACTTTTGTTCTTGTTCATTGATCTTGAAAATGACATTTTTTTCTGTTTATGACTATTAAACAATATTATGTTGTGTAAGGAACATTTTTAAAGTCAGATCATTCTTTTTCGACCAATTCTAGAGTAGCAAAGGTATTTTAAATGTGGTATTACTGATGCATTGTACAATTTTAAACATTCAAAATAGCTAAGTGTCTGCCAATACACATGCAGAATGAGTTACTGAAAGCCTTGCACAACAAATGGAAATTCATAAACCACCGTTACATGTCAAGGAAAAAAAAAGGATCTTAAATGCATTTTGAAGTAAAAATATCAACCCACTTCCCGAAAATCAATTTATTAAAAATCCATAGAACTGTTTCGGGAAACAATCACTCCATAGCCCAAAAAAAATTAATACAAATACATTTAAAAGTGGTTTGCCACAAATGTTGGTTTTTGATTCACTAGAGTAATACACAATTGGGTTTAATGCAGAAAATGAAGGGTTAGAAATGATAAGATTCTAAATTATGCATCACCAAAAGAAAAAAAAGACATTTCTTTTATACACAAAAAGGGACAAATGAAGACAAACATCTTGCTTATTTACCACTTTACCCTGAGAATCTTTAAAACCATAATAAATTAAGAATGATTTATAAGATACCTCACTCTCAAAAATAATTTTCAAAAACAAAAATCACAAATCAATCAATCCTAAGAAAGTATCTGAAATTTGCAACACGTACAGTTTGGTATTTGGTGGCTGGAAAATCTAGGCTTAATTTAGAGTATATGGTTGATTTGGGAAGTCTTACTAATTTCTAATGCTAATTTCTCAATTGGTTGGCCTGTCACTGCTACATGTATCATTCCAAAAACCCAATTTATAAATAAACCCATTTATATTTTTTTGAAAATGTTTGCACTTTTCACTCAAATGGAAAAATAACTGAGCAAATAAGCTAATTCTGTAAATTCAACAATAAGCAGCAGCTCCCACTGAGCTGACATCTGGTGAAGCCCAGGATGTCTACTGACAAATATTTGAACAGTTGCCACAAGAAAATGAGTGCTTTACTCAGCAGCCTAGAGACTAATCACGAAACTCAGACAGATAGCATCTACAGCAAAAACATTTAACATAAAAAAAATGCAATACTGTTTCTTACAAATAATGAAGATTATTTATTTCTATCTTGCAGTTTTTTGGGGCCATTACCAATACTTTTCCACTGTAAGTACAAACTTCTCTTTCGAATAGACCTTGCCCTGTGTTATAAAGTATATCATACAAAAGTAATGTGTATATTGACCTTAGCCTAATGAAAAATAAGAAAAGTTTAAGGCTATTACTACAGAGCTAGGCACAAATGATCAAATCAGACTTTTTTCAGAACATTGGGCTTTTAATGATTCAAGATACCTGGGCACATTCAAGTGTTTGAACACGAGTACTCTACTGCTAACAGACACCCCCGGCCTTCCTCCATGACCCGGACCAATTAAAACATCTTCTAGGACAGCCAATGAAGAATCAAATTTGAATTTAACCATAAAGGTAACCAGTGTACATTATCAAATCGTATGTCTGAATGCAGAGAAAATGTATGTGTGAGTTTTAAAATTGGTGAAAAATACATGTGCTTAGAAACTCTTCCTACTGTATCTTCCATTTCCTCATAGACCCCATGCCTCCCCTTTCTTTATCTCCAGTACCATTTCTAAATTATACTTAAATATAACATTCATAAAGGTATAAGTCAATCAAATTTCTAATTGGGACAAAACCATACAAGAAATCTGCGCTCAACTCAATTTCACCTTATGAGATGATTCTAGAAAACATTTATCTGTTGTTCATGTAAAGCTCACTAAGGAAGACTGAATAATTTAGGACCTGCTTAAACTGTTAACCCTACACAATCTTTCACTTTTGTTACAGGGCAGTTATGTAAAGCTCAAACAGAATTGCTCAGTGAAAACCTAGGTTTCTAGAGACCAGTCTGTGCCAGTCTTTCTAGCATAATGTAGCACTTGGGTTTGTGAAAGGTTTGAAAGGAAAAAAATACCTTCATAAACAAAGTCAATCAGCCAGGAGCCTCACTTCAAGTTCATAAAACATTTATAATTTTCTTTCCCACTGAGTCCTCCTCAGAACAGGTCAGTGAGATTAAAATTGTCCATAATGTAGGCTATCAAAACACTCAAAATAAGCTATAGCCAGACACTCAAGATCAGATTTCCTGTTATTCTCATCTTGTCCTCAAACCAATTAACTAGGTATAGCCACCTACTTAAAATTATAAACTAGATCTGCAGGAACCTAATCTCCAAAACCAAAATATACCACCTCCGCTTTAATCCCCAATTGTGTGGAAAGTTTTCAAAGCGTTCATTCATGAAAGCTTTACAGGTTAGATCCAGCACAATTTTTCAAGAGTGGAACACAACCCATAGCGAACAAACAAGTGAAAAGGTATGTAAAAAAATAAACAGAAAAAGTAGATTGAAATCAAGGATTTCAACACAATGGCTTATACGTTAAATATCACAGCATGGACAGTTCTGAATGCCTATACTCCCGGCTGTAAGGAGACCTAAGGGACTCCTGCAAGATGATTGCTGGGGCACCTGTCAAAGAACTTCAGTGACAAACACAGCTTTATTTGCTAATGCTTCTTGAGCTTTAGGGTTTAAGGTGATGGCAAGAAACTCCAATGGTGGTAAGACAACAGCAAAACAGCGGAGGGCAGGATTGAGATGTCTATACTAGCTGAAGTGCAAGCAAAGCAAGCCAGAAGCCTGCAGATCAATTGACTGGTAGCATAGGCAGGTTACACAGGTTGCACAAACTAATGCACATCTCAAAATAAAAGTGCGTGGTCATGCGATGCCAACCCAAAGACCTCTGTAGCCCTGACAGCTTGGTTCCAAAAACGAAAGGTTCTTGTGGTTCCTTCATGTTGTAGGGTTTGAGTCATTTTCTACCTTCGGCATCCAGGCACCAGCCGACTCTCTCACGCCGGACACAGGTGATGCCTCCATATCCTATTAAGCGACTAATGTTTTAGGTCCTAAAATCTAGCATCTTTTAAATTACTGGGTCTACATTTCAGCTGTGCAACAAATATTGGTTCATTTCCTCAGAGGCTAGGAGCCTCAATTCCCCCTCACTCCACAAGTGGTGCACTCAAACCATTTATCAGTATCAAGTGACAAATTGTTTAACAGCGCTAAGAATTTCAGTGGACTTTCCTACTTATAACTGCAGGGTGGATAGACCACATGTTCTGAGTTTAAGTGCATTTCCTTGAGAGTATATACCATTTGTACTTTTTGCAAATGTTGCTGTACATGTCATCTGAGTGTGAAATGAGGTCCCCCCCTTTCTTAGCTACAGCTTAAAGGTATGAAAATCATCACTACAACAGTCAAATACAATATGCTTATCTGGATACTTGAGCAAACCAAGATATAATGAACATTTTGTTTAAAAGCCATGGTTTTATTTCCCACATTCTTTTTTCAGAAAAAAGTTGGCAAAGGGGGGCCTTCTTTTGGAGTAAATCAAGCTGGTCATGTCTCATTTTTTCTAAATTGCCTCAAAAGCAGCTATAAGACTGAGCATTGGCCAGTGTTAGGACTGTTCAGTTGTACAGTTTTCTGTAACCCCAGGCTCATTTTTTAAACAGGCTAGATCAGCATTTTCCACCCAAAGTTAACATCCACTTCCAATGGTGTTAGAGGGGAAAAAAATCCTGTACAAAGTTCCAAATTTGTAGAATAAATAAGTGACACTGAACAGAGAATAATCACTTTAATGTGGAATTAGATTTTTCAGTTCAATAGATTCGTCATTGTTGGATACTACACTTAAATATCCTTATAGTTCAGACCATACATCTAAAACAATTTAGGAAGAACCTTAAAACAAATTACAAGTCTGAAATTTAGAGAATGAACAAAGTATGAGTTGTAAAGCTTCAGTTTAAAAAATAACTTTCAAAAACAGATTCACTTTACCATTTCAATGTATAGTAAAACTGTTTTGCAATATGAAGTAACGAAAAGGTAACCATAAGTTACTAAATAAATCGGTGACATGGTTAATTTAGCAAAACTGAAGTACAGTATGTAAACATCTGAATGCAACTTATTTCTATTAACCAACATTCTACTTTACAAAAAACAACAAATATCAAGCAGCATAGCAGAAACCATTTTTTTTAAATGTCCATTTAGTCTGGAAATGTGTAATTTTAGATTTACAAATCTGAATCAGATTATACCCACAGATTTTACGTACCTGTGACCAAAGACTTCGCACTGACAAAACTCCAGACTAAATTAAGACATTTGGCAGCATGTGCTGGCTAATAAAAAAAAAAGCTCAAATAAAAAATAAACAAACACTAAAACTGACACTGTAACACAAGACTGGATTTATCCATTTCTAGATCTGCGTTTAGAAACACTACCATAGTTATCATCAGCCTCGCTTTCAGTCGACTCCTGCCTCTGAGCTGGAGATCACACGGCTGTCTTGCTCTCACTCCCAATCTTCTTCCACGTTTGGTTCATTGATTGTGGTCGGTCTGGCGACTTCTTTAGCAAAAGAGGCCTGTGGACAATTATTCTGTCAGTCACCACAAACTACTACAGCTACAAACAGCAATTTTGACTCTTTGCCTATTTTATGAAATAAGGGATAACGATAAGCAGGATATGCATGCAATTTAAAAACCACATACTTTTCGAGTGTCTACTGAAGCAAACACATTCCCACGTGGATTATATCCATAAGTACCACATGCACTGAATGCGATTTCCTCCAGCCAAGACGGTACTTCTTGTTGTGCCTGAAATTAAAATCAAATTCAGCAACAGATATTTTTGAGGAACATCAATATTTTGGATAGCAGATGGGAAAAAAAAAAACTTACATCTGAGAGAACCTTCACAAGGGAACGCGCTAAAGGAGTATCGTAATTGGGGTCGAAGAAAGAGACGGCTTTCCCGGTATTTCCACAACGTCCTGTCCGGCCAATGCGATGCACATACTCGTCAATGGAAGACGGGAGGTCAAAGTTCACAACATGCTGTACGTGCTCAATATCCAGTCCTCTGGCTGCCACTGAAGTTGCAACTAAAACGGGACATTTTCCAGTACGGAAGTCTCCAAGAGCTTGCTCTCTTTCTCTCTGCTCTCGATCACTAAAAAAAAAAATTAATGCCATAAAGTCTTCTACAATGGTAGAGGCATTCTCATTTGCAGTTTTACCAGAAATGAACAATTAAAATGGACAAAAAAAAACAATCGTAGGCATGCTTGAATTTGTACAAGTTAAACTGCTAACATACCCCTAACAAAAAAAAAAGCTTAAAACACATTCAAGAAACCTGTAGCACACACACACACACGTGTTAAAATCTTCATCCTGGAAACATTGTGTATTTCTACCCTTCACACCCCTCCCAAAATGAAAAGGAATACCTACCCATGAATACTTGTGGTGGGTATTTTTTCTTGGCAGAGAAATGTAGCAATGAAATCTGCTTTTCTTTTAGTGTCAACAAAGACCATTGTACGCTCGTTACCTACAATAAATTATGTAAAAAACCAATACATACAACATTAAACAATTTGAGAATTTAAAATACGCAAAATACAATATCAACATCACGATTTGGGAGAGTTAAACAAAAATAACCAGCATTCCAGAACAGTAGCTAAAATATTTTTAACTGTACACTCACAGTACAAAGTTGTTACCCTTTTGCAGGGTTACTTCAACACCCATTAGTGTATTAAAACATCTAGAAACTTCATTGTGTTTTGATTTCAACAGATAAATGCAAACCTACATTTTAAATACATTTATGAAAAGGAGACACTGTACAACAATTTTACAGGATTAAGATCCTTTTAGGGGGCTAGTTGTTTACAGACCTACATGTTAATTGTGCATTTAAATTTGCTACGTGCAACCAAACTAACCAGTTCCACATTGCTAGCATTTTGGGTGTTAATCTGAGGGCTCTGAATTGAAAATTCCCATTGGCCTTTACCAATCATGGCCTCCTAATAATCCCCATCTATAAACTGGCTTCATTACTCTGCTCTCCTCCCCACTAATAGCTGATGTGTGGTGAGCGTTCTGGTGCACTATGGCTGCCGTTGCATCATCCAGGCGGATGCTGCACATTGGTGGTGTTGGAGGGGAGTCCCCATTACCTGTAAAGTGCTTATAGTAGAGTGCATTTACTTTACCCAAAAGGGTTGCTCATAAAGAAATCCAAAATGTCAGTTTGCAGATCACAAGCACATACATTTAAAAAAATTCAACCCTACACTGAACAATATTTGTCATCAAGAAGAATAAGGTCATAAAACAAATCTGCTTTGGTACATCATATTCAAAGCTATATTTCATAATGGACAGCACTTTTCACAAATTACCATACACTAAAAAAAAAATCTAAGGAAATGTATAAATGCATTGTAGTTATTTGTTCCAATCACTTATGAATCGTTCACTAGGAAAAACCTGGTGGACTTTTCCGACTACAATTATCATTCAAATGAACTGTTTCAGCATCTATGGTCAAACCCAAGTAGTTAATCGTAGAAAATTTCACGTTTATTGACTGCCATGGTCTTGCCAGTTTTGAGTATGTTAAGAATCAAATTGCTTGGTTTCAACATATGTACACATGACGCCAATGCAACAAAAGGAAATTTAAAAAACAGGTCAGTCACAAGAAGTTGCAAATGAACAGGTTTATTCCAGAATTAAAATTTAAGGTCCCATTTTTTCTGTGCCCATCAATGTACCATGTTCAATACATAAAAAAGGCCTAATATAATAAACGGATCTCAATTTCATTCTGGAAATTTGTCTGGGAATGGCGTTTACCGAGTTAGTTAAATTCACTGCAGCCAGAAGTAAATCAGACACCATATACATCTTTCACAAAACCTCACTTGAGCCTTGGCAACGTGTAACACCTCAAAATCCCAACATGCCACTGTTTTTTTTTTGTGGGGGGGAACCTTAAGGAGAGTACTATTATTCCATTGCTCTTTGGAACTCGAACAAATATTTAAAAAGCAAAATGAGCATAAATCAAGAATCAAATATATTAAGCAGCTTAAAAGTTTGGTTTCAATATTATTTTAACTAAAAATGTACAGTTTCCCCAGTTAACTACGTCTGTTTCAGTTTTGCAATACAGCTAGGACATTTAAGTATCGATAATGGAGATTACCTGTAGTTTGCAGTATTTCAACAAGCTTCTCTCGCTTTTCAAACTGGGTGACCTGCTCTACATATTGTTCCACATCAGTACATGCACCTCCTACTTGGCCAACCACAAGGAACAGGTAATCTGTCTTCAGAAACTCTGCAGCCAACCTGTAACCATTAGAGGAAAAACGATTGTCAGGCCCTGAAATCACCAGCCTCACAGCAAACCCTACCTACAGAAGCAAAACTCTTCAGAAATTGAGTGAAGTCCCGGGAATACTGCTATTTTTTCTCCAACAATAACATCTTCAAACTGTTCCAAGAAAAGGCAGAGACCTTTTAAGAAGTCATACCCCCAAAAATAAAGGGGAACTGCAATCCCAATTTCTCAGACGGGTTATTAAATCTCCATAACAAAATAAATTGATAATATTGCTAATTTCTACAAAGTCAAAATTACTTGAATCTTGAATCTCACTGTGAGAAGTACTGTATGTTATCCATTTTGTCGCAAACCAGTAGTCTCGCCACAGGAAACAATTCACTGAAATGTGATGTGGACCTTCCTGCTCACTAGTCGCTGTATAAAACTAATTTTGCCCTTACTTCAAAATTAAACATTTCTGTAACAATTAACTTACTTTGTTACCAACATTTAGTAACAGGTCTGAGAAAATCTACTTTAATACACAATTTTTATACAATACTGACAAAGTGACCACGCAGTAGAGAAAATTACATTATAGTGAAAGGCAATGCTCTTGATTAATTGTCCAGCAGTATTAAACAAGGAAATCAACACAAATCACTTTAATATTTGCTTAACCCAAAAAAAATACATCAGCAAAAATAGTTCTGTGCAACAATTAGAAAAAAGATGTAGTTATTTAAAATACCAGACATGTTCATGAGAGTAATCAATGTTGAACTTAAGATTCTTTATAAACAACCCCTTGATAAAGTAAACCCCCTTGGGTTTTACGCATACTTTCTTTGGCAAAGGCACAAGATTCAGAACTAATATGTATATATTTAGACCTAGTTTTTGGTGGCTATGCACTAGGAAGAAGAGTTCACACAAGTTGTACCTGGCAATAAAATGAAGTTATTAAAAGTAGTGAAGTTGTGAATATTGAACTATCGAAGCACATGAGAATGTATAAAATGTCCCTTTTAAACAACTGATTTAAATTGATTGATTATTCAATCAGCAGATAACCCAGCAAACTCACAAAAAAGGCCTTCAAGTGCATTCAGTAAAGAAACATTTACAGATTAACAAAGTTACAGATCTTTTGACAATTCTACAAGCATTTACGTTCTGTGACTTAACATAAATGCTTTTGTCGGAGTGCTATCTCAACACAAATTTCTAAACTTCTAGCCTCCTTTTCTATTTATACACAAACAGAAGACAAGTGCTATTTGCTGCACAAACACCAAAGAACGTTGTTTAAATGGTCAAGACTCATTTTACTTTAAGATCATTTACATTATTTGTATTAGTAAAGTTATTATTTAGGAAGGTTACCTCTGAATTTCATCTGGGTAAGTAGCACTGAACATAAGAGTCTGACGATCTTCTTTTGGAGGCATACCAGGTGACGCAACCAATCTTCTCATTGCTGGTTCAAACCCCATATCCAACATACGATCTGCCTCATCTAGGACCAAGTACCGGACTTTGCTTAGGCCAACCTAGGGAAAAAAATTCTCAGTAAAAACAAAAGGCTTTTAAAACATTTTATAAATCTACAGGATACGGACATGATATTAACAAGGACAGTACAGTGTATGAAAGCCATCATTCGCAAGATAGAATCCAAAACAAAGAAGGCACAGTCACCATTTTCTGTGCTTGTTAAAGCAAATATAATTTCAAGTATTGAATATTTCATATTGAATGGTATTGTGGGACAAGCCAGGAAATAAAAGTTCACTGCAGTATTTATCCCCCACGTACTACAAGCTTGCATACATCAATGAAGCACCAATATGTTGAGGCGTGCTGGAAGTACACTATTTTGGGGCTGATTGAGTGGCAAGGACTTAAACTAATGCATTAGACCAACATTAAACTTACTTGGGTTTTGTTTGTGCTTGGATGTCCCAAGAACAGACATTTCTAGCAATATTAGCTAGTCGGTAAACACAGTAACATAAAATATTACGTAAAATTTAGAGCAGCTGAGAGGGCAGTAAACACTCAATCATGTATAGGGGAGTACTTACTGATCTGTCTGACGGTGCCTAGATAGCGATATTGATAGTGCTACACTGTATGACAGGACAACCCCTAGTTGGATAATAAAAACGAAAAAAATACAACAAAATATATTACCTGTAACAGTCCTTTTACAAGCGTAATAAGGAACAAAGTAAAACCTTTTACCAATGTTCCTTACAATATTTTGCATGTTGATACTGTTGATAGTGAAATCTTTCATCGCGGATGTGCTGCCTGAGGCCAACAGAAAAAGTGCCAGGAGTCTACCCAACAGTCAAATATTGGGAACGGAGCTGAATAAAAGTTGCAGTCCAGTTTGTATCCAACAAGGACACAAGGATTTCTTACTCTCCAACAGCATCTTCACCTCAGGTGTTCCGAGATGATTTCAGGTTGAGCACTTGCCATTAACTTGCTCGAGGCCCTGTGATCTAGGACTTAGTAGTTGGCAGATGCAGATTAAGACAGCATTCAACAAACACCCTAAAGAATCTGAAGTGTTACCTTTCCTCGTCCAATGATATCCAAAAGTCTCCCAGGAGTCCCACATAGAACATTGCATCCCTTCAGCACCTCACGGATTGAGTAACCTGTGCTTATTCCTCCATAAACAACAACAGGTCTCACACATGTCCTAACATGTACCAGGAAAAAATTAAATAAAAGGAAGTGGTTTTAAGTTTCAAAAATCAAATTTTAAGTGTACGGGTTAATCAAAAGTTATATACCCCAGTATCCAAAAGGTAAATAAAACACTGAAAACCTAAAATTCATTCACCTCCTGCTGAGCAGTCAGTGAACCCAAATTCCAAAGTTCTTAAAACCACAGGGATGTCTGTAGACAAAATGTGTTAAAATATTCATTTTTATTTTATAGGCTATGAATAAAACGTTAGGCCATTTACATATGAAGAGATGCATTAATGTTATGAAGTGAAAAAACCCACGCAGCAGTGGAGGGAACCGATTTTACAACAGAAACAGCAGCAGAGCTAAGGAATTTTGATAGACAAAACAAATCTAGCAAATAACAGTACCTTTCACCCCTTTTAAAAGTTCTCTAAACGTTGAATTGCAATGTTTGACACTAACAGTAATCACAAGGAAGCATAGGCTGAATAGCTTGTTTACTTGCAACTTATCTACACCATCCGATAGTAGTGAATCAATTCGACAATCTCATCCTGCCATTTTTTTTAAAGCAACCAATGCAACTGCTTCAAAAACTTGGCTTGGTAACTTGTTCCCACAACCCTGAGGAAAAATGCGCCTCCTGCTCTTGTTTTACTTGTAAAACCTATGGTAGTTTCCACTTGTGACATCTAGTTTGAGCTTCTTATGCTGAAGTATTTTTTGAGGATCTCATAAGGGGTTCAAGTACTTATCTGAATCTACTTTTATTTTGGTCACAGTGGTGCAGAAGTTAAGGCTTTACAGGCCCGAGACCCGAATATTCTTGACAATCTGTGAGGAGATTGCAAAAGTGCAAAGCATGCAAAAAGACTCAAGAATATTTCTGAGCTAAAAGAGTGAGAAAAATTCCAAAAGCAAGAATAGATTTGTTTCCTATAAGCAACATTTTGGAAGCTGTAATTTCTGCCAGTGGACACATTACCACTTACCAAGAGCTAACCACTGCCCAAACTTTTGCACAAGCTATATTAACGGTTTTAACTTGAAAATCTACAAATCTGTAAATACTAATGGTGCTTTAAAATGGTTGGTATGATGTTTGGTTTAATTTTGTACCATGTACAGGTTGCTTTCTGTTCATTTAGATTCACTGGATGCCTACACTTCTGCACACAAGTTTTTGATGGCCATCAGATAAAATGTGATTAAAGCTGGTCTAAAAGGGAGGTGAGCCTGAAATTCCACACTTATAAAATGAACACAAAAGAATCTCATTTTTGTATTTATCCATTGTTGCACTGAAATCCTTGTGTAGACTTACACAAAATCATGTGGCACAGGAACATTCCCTATAGTACACTTATCCAACCCATTTTTCCAGCTTCTCATATGTAATTACTTTTCAGAATACTTGAAATTGTTTTTCATTCATGTGTAAAAAATGTATTTCTTTGGAAAGGGTGTTTAGGCACTGTACATGGAGAATACAGTAGGAGATCAATCTGATCACTATCCAAGTCAACGTAATTTTAACAAGGCTTAGACAAATGCAAACTAGAAGTGATGGGTTTCATGTCCAACTGTACCATTTTTGAGTGGGAGATAAAAATGGGCAGAATCCTTAATATAGCAGAACGTCAAATAGCCAGTCTAACAGATCAACAATAAATAAGAGAAAGTTTAGTCCTAATTAGAAGGGGTTTGGCTATTCAACTTGTGCACGTTAGATTACCTGGTCTCAGGACTTAAAGCTTAATTGTCATCTTAATTCTATTACATCCCCCTA